TAGTAGCAAAGGGCATCGCTACTGGGAGCAAGGACGCTACTAGTAGCTCCTGGCCTTACTAATGGGAACAAAAAGCTACTAGTAGCAAAGGGCATCGCTACTAGGGGCATGGACGCTACTAGTAGCTCCTGGCCTTACTAATAGGAACCAGAAGTTACAGTACTAGTAGCAAAGGGCATTGCTACTGGGAGCAAGGACGCTACTAGTGGCTCCTGGCCTTGCCAATAGGAAGAAGAAGCTACTAGTAGCAAAGGGCATCGTTACTGGGAGCATGGACGCTACTAGTAGCTCCTGGCCTTACTACTAGGAACAAGAAGCTACTAGTAGCAAAGGGCATCGCTACAAGGAGCATGGATGCTACCAGTAGCTCCTGGCCTTACTAATAGGAACAAGAAGTTACTAGTCACAAAAGGGATCGCTACTGGGAGCAAGGACGCTACTAGTAGCTCATGGCCTTCCTACTAGGAACAAAAAGCTACTAGTAGCAAAGGGCATCGCTACTAGGAGCTGGCCCCACTACTGGGAACAAGAAGCTACTAGCAGCAATTGGCATCGCTACTAGGATGCTACTAGTAGCTCCTGGCCTTACTGCTAAGAACAAGAAGCTACTAGTAGCAAAAGGCATCACTACTAGGACTACTAGGAGCCAGGACGCTACTAGTAGCTCCTGGCCTTACTACTAGGAACAAGAAACTACCAGTAGCAAAGGGCATCGCTACTAGGAGTCTGCTTTGCCCATTGAGTTCCGCACGCTTTCCGCCGAGGGCAGTCAATGCACTTACGAAAAAACTCCACAGAATGTCCAAGTCGAAGCACTTCACATATGGAACCTGGAGGGACAAGGCGGACGCAATATTGAAATTCTAGCGTGCACAAAAGCCACAGGCCTCATTATAGAAGCGATCTTTCTTTGCCCAAGAAGAAGCTTGCACCACCGGCCTATATTCCGTCTTGCACAAACATCAGCTTCTTCGGAAACATGAGGGGGCTAGTTTTGTGGGTAGTCCAAATTGCAAGCTAGTGTCTCACCCATTGAGCCAAATGGAGCTATGACAATAAAGCCATCGCCTCATTCCCAAAATGGTTGAGAGTCTCATAGTGAGCCGACTGGTACACCACTCAGCTCAGGGCGAACAATCTCATTCTTCTCCACCAGTTTTTCCACATCCCACCAAAGTGTCTCCTAAGCTTACACGTAACGTTGCAACATACACAATAATCGCATTTCTATAACTTACGCTGATGACCAACCAGCCACGACAAGTTCGGGTATATTCTAGTGGATTCCATGGGCAATGCTTCCGTTATGGAAGTACTGGTAGCAGAGTAGCATCTTCTCAAAGTCCTTTCTGACGGGATCAAATTAAATTTTCCAAGTGGCAGGATAGATATAAGTGTTGGCGCCATGCCTGGGCATCCAGCAAAGCAGCGCACGCACAAGTTGGGACCGGTGTCTACATGCATCATCATGTTTCAACAAGACAACATAAAACAACTATTGTTCAAAGCTGCAAGAAGAGCACCACTGGTAGAGAATCCCCGCCAGGGTCGTGCAACAAGTAGTGTTGCAAACCGGAGTTAAGTTTCACCTTACAGCACCACCAAAATCAAAACCAAATAAGAAAATTTGAGACGTGAACTCAGTGATACATGCTAAATACCATACATGTGCCATGCTACCATATGTTTATTGTTTATGGTCTCTGAACTTTGCAGATTGAAACACACCCACCGCATTCACTGCATGCCTCCAAAGCACACTTCGAAACAATGCCGAGGGCACTCCAGCGCATGCCCACGACTCTGCGTGAGTGCTTTGCCTGAGTAGGTTGAATTTGCGCATCTCAATGCTCTTACTGCTGACGCAAGCGGTGGACACAAACCATCCGAATTCTGAATAATATCCCGGCACCCCAGTGGTTTTTTGAGAGAGGTGAGGTGGTGATGAAGGTGGAGATCGTGGTGATGGTGGTGGTAGTGGTGATGATGGTGGTGATGGTGGTGATTGGTGGTGCTGGTGGTGGGTGGTGCTGGTGGTGACGCTGTCCAAGAGCCAAATTAGAGCGCGTCAAAGATCATCACCATATCCAAAAGTGCTGCGCCTGCCACGAAATCTGCATGTCGAAGAAACACCGCTCCGATCCCGTGCGCCTGTCACGCAAAGTCAACTTTGGGCCAACAAAGCACGAGGTTTCCCTTGCGCCTGCCACGAAAAGTGACCGCCATGTCCGAAAATGCGCGTGGCGCCACTACGAGAGCGCAGTCGAAATGCATTTTGAAAGGCGTGAATGTACTGTACACAGCAACGAATTAGCCAAATACCCCAATGCAACACCTCGATTTAACACCGGCCCTTAACTACCAGAACCCTGAGTGTGACCACTCTGTTTGGAGAAAGACGAAATCTAGTAGTTCGAGAGGCCGAGGTTTAGAGAGCACACATGTGAGAGCAGGATAGACTTTCAGAGGTCTAAGATCTAATGGTCAAGGTCAGAGCACGCCTCGGAAACCGCAGACCACAAAGCGCTACGCCTGCCACGAAATCTGCACCTTCGAGGTTCGTGCTGCCTCTGCCACGAAAACTTCACTTCGAGGTTCACAAAGTGCTGCGTCTGCCACGAAATCTGCGCTTCGAGGTTTCACAAAGTGCCACGTCTGCACTTCGAGGTTACGAGGTTTAAGTGCTGCGCCTGCCACGAAATCTGCACTTCAAGATTCACTCACCGCAGCCCTGCCAAGGCGTTTCAAAGACAATATCCAGATGCCAGAACACAGCTTCCGCGCAAGACTTCCCCCGATTTCTGAGTAGAATGTCACGATTCACTGCGCCTGTCCGATCCCATGCGCCTGTCACGCAAAGTCAACTTTGGTCCAACAAAGCACGAGGTCTCCCTTGCGCCTGCCACGAAAAGTCCAAAAATGCGCGCAGCGCCACAACGAGAGGGCAGTCTCGAGGATTTTGGAATGGCATGAATAGCAACGAACTAGCCGGACGCGCAGCACCTCAATTAAACACCGGCTCAACACCTGCCGTAAGAACCTCTAGTGTGACCACACGGTTTGGGGAGCAAATTTGTACCTGATATATGCTATATGCGTATAAAAAATGTTTGAGATGTCTAGGGAGCACACCCTTGCTCGCAGGGTTGGCAGCAGTGCGTGTAAGAATAGACATGGTGCTTGCCTCTCAGCCGAAATTGCAACAACATGAGCTAAGGAGATGGATGCGCCCAAAGCATGAACAGTGTTTATCCTCAGACAAATCTCTAGCAGAACAATGGCCTGGATGTGGATGTCCTCTTTGTACCTTCGAAATGACCATCTTGAAACTACATTGCAAGGACTTGTGTCCACTTTGTATGGGATTTTTGACCAACTGCTTGGGATCCTTGTTTTGTTATAAGAAGTTAGGTTAGTTAAGATCAGTTATATAATTATTAGCTTGAGTTGCTAATTCTATATAACTAGCTATAACTCTAAAAATGGTTTCTCCAAAATCCAAATTGACTTTAAGTTTTTCAGAGAATTAAAATGATTTTGGTACAAAAAATGACAAACTAATATGCATTTTCGAAAAAAAGAAACATAATTAATTTCTGTCGTGGTGCATTGACATGTGCAAACATTTATTGATGGATGGAAGAAGCCATCATGGCCTTTGATGAGCCATCATGGCCTTTTATTGGAATGTTGGAATGTTGAATGGTTTTTCCATGGTTGCATGGTGCTGTTTACATCTGCTTTTAACTTTAGAATGACAAGAAGGACAGAAAATGTATGCGCATATTGGCTAGGCTCAAACATTGCTGCTTGGCAAGCTGTTTTTGAAGCACTGGCTGGTAGCATGGTCTTTGCCATTGATGCAAATCAAAAAGTAGCCTTTGGTGGTCGCCTTGGTGCCATTGGAAACAAAAGATTGAATCAACAAAACCAAACATTGAACTCATCGTCTACTTGGTGGAACACATTCAATTGTGCTGTGCAACAACGTGTTGAATTTACCCAAGTGGCCCTATGGTGCTGCTGGTGCCTCATGTGGGCTAAACCATTGGTCCACAATGTGCTGGAAGTTGGAGTATGGCTCCCTGTAGAGCAGCAGTTGGACCAACCGGTGGTTGGAAATCCTGGGTCCATGGTGCTCATACACCAGCACAAAGAACTGGGCTTGTGATACAAGTGTTGTTGTCCACCCAGGTATGAACTTCTCTTCTGTTTCCTCCATTGGCCCATGTGGTGAAGGCATGGTGGGCTGGCCCTGTGGGTGGCTCGTACCTGAGCCCAAAAAGTGTTGATTTGATTGAACATATATAGTCCTCTATATGTCCTCTAGATAGTGGTCACACATATATTGTTTTTTGTGGTTGGTAACATGTTGGTCATCTCTTTGCTGCCAAGGAGCCACTGCTGCCAGCCATTGTCAAACAAGATGATGTACATGGTTTGGCCTTCCCAGTTACAATGGTAGTTGTCAATGATTCTGGCCATTGTGCCCTTGAGACCTATATGTGCATATATGGCTGCAGGTGCAACTGTTTCACATGAATGCCATCATTGGCGATAGGTGCAACTGCTGGCCTACTCCAAGCATGGTGGCCTTCGTGAATTACCATACTCATGGTTCACATGATTTGCCATATTGGCTCAACTGCAATAGTTATTTTGCACACTGCCTCCAAATGTGGCCAACAATGCACACTGCCTCCAAATGTGTAAAATTGTGTGGCTGCAGGTCTGATGACCCCTTTGTCCAGCCTACTTGGAGCAAGGTCCAGTCTTGGCTTGTCAAGTAGGCTGTGAAGTTGTGCACCTTCTGGCCACCATGGGCCAATGTCAATGCATGGTTGTTTGATGCAGTGGCTAATGACTCCACACATTGGTTCAAAGTGGCTTTCTCTGTCTCAGGCAAAGTGGGTTTTTCCACATGGTCCAGCAATTGGATGATTGCTTCACTTGTCCATGTATCCACTGCCTGGAGCCTTTGGCGCAAAGTGTTCAGCAGAGTCTGAACCACTGTGGAGCCAGGTCTTCTGGCACACAACTCTTGCAGATGGGTGATCTCTGCCAAGAAATCTTCAATTTTCCACAAATGGCTCATACTGCAGGCAGTAAAGGGCAAGACAGAAGTGGCTGGGCTGACAAGGGCAAGGTGGCTACATGGAGATGAGCCCAAAAATAGGTTATAGATGGTGAAGGTATATAAGATGTGAGGAAGGGTTGAATAGTGTATGCTATTCAGGTGTATTGCAATGGATTGAAGAATATATTGTAAAGCAAAAAGGTATCTGATTGAAGAAATCTATTGGCATTGAAAGGGAAAGAAAGTTATGGTGTGTCCAAAAGGAGGCTTTTGCTAAAGATGGCCATAAATTGGCTTTTGCAAGTGACCTAAATATATGCCATATATGGCATTTGACACAAACAACTGTTACTTGTGCACAACTTCAAAGCTTGGGTAGCCAAAAAAGGCTTTTGGAAACAAAACTCAGCTGCTGATCTTTTTTTTCACTGGCTATGTGACACAAAAGGTCTGGCTGTGTGAAACAAATGGTGACATTTGCAGTGGCTCAAATGTCAAACCAATCTGGTCTTCTGGCATCAGACCCATGGCGGTTCATGATGTTCTGGGTTCTGGTGTATTCCCTGGCAAAGTGGAGGTTGGCCTTCATGGTCTCCAAGAGGCTTTGCACATCATCCCAATGGCCTGCAGCATAGTGGTCTACCAATTGCTGGGCTGACCTTCCCCATGCCTTTTTTGGCTGCAATGTGCTTTGCCAAATCAGCTTGGAATTTGCTGACTATGGCATCTGTGGTGGCCCAATCTTTGGCATCCCAGAGGACAGCGAAGAAGACTAACTTGGCCTTCCATCCAGTTTTTTTGGTGCCATGCTGGTCAGAAGGCTCTGGCATGGCTTGTCCCACACATGGGCCACTACTGGATGCCATAGATTGGTCTGGTGGCACTGCTGCACTTGCTGCTCTGGGGTATGCCTTTGGGCTCTGCAGGAATTGGTTGGAAGCTGGTGAAACTGGCTCTGGTGGTGGTGCCACATTGCCCATTGGTGACCTTTTGGCAAAAAACAAGCTGGGTGGTTGGACTCTTGCATCTAGCACTGGTTTGGGCCAGCAGCTGGCCTCGTCTGGCTTTGGTTTGCTGAACATGCTGGCCTCATCTGGCTTTGGTGTGCTGGGTATGGTGGCAAAGGGATCATACTCTGGTGACTTTGCAGGCTCAAATGGAATATCTATGGGAGGTTCTTGCTCCAGCTTGATGGGATCATTGGCTTGGTGACCACTGGCCTCACTGGTGGACAATCTGGGAGCCTTGAGCACATTGGTGCAATCTGCATCATTGGCACTCATCCTGGCCAACTCCTTTGGTCTCCATTGGTATTCATTGGTGGTCTTGTTGGACACAACAGTGTCACTGGAATCACTGGAGGTGGCACTGGTATCACTGGTGGTGGCCTGTGGATCCACTTGCTCTGCCATGGCTGCTGGTTTGTGGCACCTCTTTGGGCTTCAATTGGTTTGTAAATGGCTGGTATAAATTACATAATTGTTGTAGCTACAGCTTGATTTAAAGTATTGATAGAACACTTCGTATAGTGCTTATGTTCTACAGGTTCTGGCATGTTCTTCTGATGCATAAATGGCTGGCTATAATAGTAAATAGATATACTAGTATGCATGTATATATATATATATTCTAAAGGCCACATTGGCTTTTGGATGTGCTTTGTGATGGGCCATATTGGCTTTTGATACAAGTTCACAACTGATGGGCCATATTGGCTTTTGATCCAATTTTACAATTTCAGTGAAAAAATGAAGGCCACAGTGGCTTTTTGCTCAGCCATGCAAATCAAATAAACAATTAGTAATATATTGTGCTTGAATGAAATTTATGTTATTTTTATATTGTTGAAAACTATTTTTTGAAAATATATCAAAACTAGTATTTACAATCACTATGTTTTACATTTTTTGCTTTGAAAACTATTACTATTTGCTATTTTATTGGTTTTATATTTATCTATACAAATGCAAATTTTCGATTTTGAGTCTCAATTTAACTTTCCAAATCCAAGATTTTAGATTTTGATTTTGAATCTAACTTTTCCAATCCAAAATTTTAGATTCAGATTCTGAATCTAACTCTCCAAATCCAAGATTTTAGATTCAGATTCTGAATCTAACTCTCCAAATCCAAGATTTAGATTCAGATTCTGAATCTAACTCTCCAAATCCAAGATTTTAGATTCAGATTCTGAATCTAACTTTTGAAACCAAAAATTCTAGATTCATATTTTGAGTCTAAATTTTTTGACCTCGAACCTGTATGTTTAGATTCAACTCTATTAGATTTTGTTTCCTGAGTGTACTTCACCAAAGATTTTTGTCCACAGTTTTAGCCATTAAGTTTTACTTTCTTTCTTTACTTCACAAAAAAATCCACCAGTTTAGTTATTAGATGTGGCCTCCTTACTTTACTTCACCTACAAAAATATGATCAGTTTTAGTTATTAGGTTTTGTTTTCTTACTTTACTACACCAAAGATTTTTGTCCACAGTTTTAGTCATTAGGTTTTGCTTCCTTTCTTTGCTTCACAAAAACATGTCCACAGGTCTAGTTATTAGGTTTCGATTCCTTACTTTACTCCACCCAAGAACTGTCCACAGGTGTAGTTATTAGATTTTGTTTTCTTCCCTTACTTCACCACAAATTTTTGTCCACAGTTGTAGTCATTAGGTTTTGACTTCTTCCTTTACTTCACCAAAAAACTGTCCACAGTTTTAATTAGGGGATTTGGCTTCCTTCCCTTACTTCACCAAAAATGTTTGTCCACAGTTTTGGTCATTAGGTTTTGACTTCTTCCTTTACTTCACCAAAAACTGTCCACAGTTTTAGTTATTGGATTTTGCTTCCTTCCCTGGCTTCACCAAAAAACATGAAATATATACCTTTCATTAAAAAAACAATTTTAGTGTAGTCAATGTCCATTATAACTCATTGATGTTGGCCACAATGGCAAGTAGGCCAAATATGGCTTTTGAAGTTGTCATGGAACACACTGTTGACTGAGCAAGACATTGGGAGATGGCCTTTGAACACTGCAGTGGACACCTTTTTTCCATCGCATCAGCTGGTCTTGGTATGGGCCATAGTGGCCTTCTAAAAATACATGGACCAGTGGCTGGTCCACAAAGGTCATGGTGACCTGGTGGCCCTCAAGTGGCTCTGGATCCACTGGGGCCTGGCTTGCGCTGGTGCAATCCCTTGGGGAGTGACTTGGACCAGTGGCGGTGGCACTTCTCACCTGAACTGGTAGGCGCATGGCTTCCACAGCCATACCCAGCCAGTGGCCTGGCACTTGATGGCCCATGTGGCCATGGCCTGCTTGGCATTCTCTCTGTCCATGGTGGTGTTCTGGTCCTTCATGGCCTTCATGGCTTTCATGGCCTTCATCGCTTTCATGGCCTGCATGGCCTTCATCACTTTCATGGCCTTCATGGCCTTCATGGACTTCATGGCCTTCATGCTTGGTGCCATCTTGGAGTTGGCCATGGCTGGTACAGCTGGGCTTGGTCTGTTTACCTGGCTTGGGCCACACTTGGTCACCTGGCACATGGCTGCGACACAAAATGGGTTGAGCCTTGCGCAAAAGCATAGTTGGACAAAATAGTTTTTTGAAACCTTGGCCATAAAATTGCCTTTGTGAAATTAATCTACCATAGTGGCCTTTGGAAGTGGTTTGGCCAACATGGCTTTTGAAACATTGGCCATAAAATGGCCTTTGTGAAATTAATCTGCCATAGTGGCCTTTGGAAGTGGATTGGCCAACATGGCTTTCGAAAAATAGGCCATAAAATTGCCTTTGTAAAATTAATATGCCATAGTGGTCTTTAGAAGTGGATTGGCCAACATGGCTCTTGTTCCTGCAGCTGCTAGGTCACATGGGCTTTTGTCACACTCCATTCATGGAACTTGGCATCCACATGGTTCGGTGTAAGCAAATGGACCAAAGGTTGGCCCTTGCTTCCTCAGTGGTGCTGCTTCTGATGGCTGTCCTGCCAGGATGCAGCATGGCTTCAAAACAAACAAAGTTGGCTAGCAAACATTGCAAGCTCAGTGGTTGGCAAGACAAAAACTATCATTGATGTATATCATGGAAAAGAAGCAGTTATCTGGCAATCTAATCTGAATTTTATAATCTGCTGTCCTGGTTCGACTCTGATGGCATCATCTCCCAGTGGTGCCACGCATGGCTGGCTATTCATGATGGTGAACCTCCATGGATGCCCACATGTTGGGCAATTCCTGGTCTCATGGTCCACATCCATGGCCATGATGAATGCATGGCAACTCTCTTGGCCACGGTAGCCTTTGCAATGGTACCAAGCCAGTGGTCTCTTGCGTGGCTCCATCAAATGGAGGGCATACTGGGCAACCCTTTGGAGTTGGGTCCATTGGGGGTTGTCCACACATGGGTTGGGATTCACCCATGGCACATAGCTGGGTGTCTCAGTTTGGATTCCTCGGTCTCTGCCAGAGCAACATGGCAGTGGCTGGCCCATGGCAATGCCTGTGAACTGCACTATGGGATTGGTGGCTTGGCTTGAGCCTTAAGAAAATATGGGATTGTGGAATTGTGGCCTGTCATTGATTGACTTTGTTGCATTCTGTAAGCCATTGTGGCCTTTGTTACATGCTACATGCCAATGTGGCTTTTGTTGGTCTAGCACCTGTTGTTTTCAGTGCTATGCTTTTGGTATAGCACATGTTGTTGGTATAGCACATGCTATGCCTTTGTTGCCTCAGCTTTCATACACTTGAATTGCTGTACTTGATTTTTTACATACACATGCACTGATGGTGGACCTTGGTTGATTGCTGTTCTTCTTGGCTGTGCCATTTCCTTTATTTGTGAAAACAGCAGCACCATTCAAAAACATCAGCCTACATAGGTGCTGTCAATGGAAACTGTGGATTGATAATGGTTCTTCTTGTTTTGATGATTATTTTAACAATGGCCATGAGTGGCTTTTTGTGACTTTATTCTTGGTGCTTTTTAGGCCAAACAATGGCTTTTGCAATCCTTGGCTGCAACTTCTCTTTTTGTTGCCACCACTGCTATGGTCACCTGTGGCTTGATTCTTTCTTGGTGGCCTTGTAACTTCTGCTGGGTTGGGCAAAGGCAATTTGGCAACCAGCTCTCAAATGGTAAATGACTTCCCTCAAGGGTTCTGGCTCCATGGCAACAAACAAATCCCACTTGGTTTGTCTTTGGCCACCAACCAAACATGGAATCTCAGTGGAACCCAATAGGATGGTGACCACAAACTTGTCACCTGGTTCTTCCATGGCTTGGGCTTTTCTTTTTTTGGTGCATTTGTTTTTGGGCATCTCTGAATCAAACAATTCTTGGGTCTCTTCTGGCGCTGCCAAATATTCTTGGATCTTGTCATTCCTGGCTTGGGCCAATGCTTGCAATTCCTTGCTCTTGGCCAAGCTGGGGTTCTTTGTGGGCAGCTTGCCACCACAAACCAGTTGGCAAATGGCATAGTTGGTGGCACTGATCTTGAGGAACTTTTGGCCTTGGTGCTCCTCAACCAAGTCTGCAGCAATGCTCACTGGCTTCTCCTCTTGGTATGTGATTTGGCAGCGGTAGGAGATGTCCACCATTGCTGGTTGCAATTTGCTGGCACTGGAGTTGGCAACTCTCTGGTTCCTAACAATGCGGGTATAATGCATGCCCATAGAAAAAATGAAACCAAACATGGCCAAAACATGGCTTTTGTAGGTTGTGACATGTCATGCAGAATGTGCCACAAAACAGGCATTTCTGTTTTGACAAGCTTTTGCATGTCCACCAAAAAGGAAAGTCATTTTTGAAAATCTCAAAAACAAAAGAAGTTTAGGAAATAAATATGCTCAATTCAGCAACAAAAAACAGATATTTTTTGTTATGTTGTTTTTTGTTTGGTCCGCACATATCCATTTAATGCAAATAATATACAAACAAATCATCATTTTCTGGTAAATGAAAATGAGCTAGATCAAGCTCAAAAAATTATACAGAGTTAACATGAATTAAGTTAGTTACATAACTTCATCAGAAAGTTACTAACTAACTTAACATATGTTAAAAATTAACACTAGTTATACATAGTTAAAACCTAGTTATACTTAGTTAACACACAGTTGTAACTAGTTGCTAAATGAACATAAGTGATCATAATTATGTTAACTAGTTATAACAAAACAAGGATCCCAAGTGCTGCTTAGATTGTCGCAAGTTAGTTAGCCACTAACGCAAAGGAGGGGCCAAGCCAGTAATCATCCGGTCGCAGGAAGGACAATGAAACCATGCCTTCCAGGTTCCAAGAGTGACATAGCAGAAAGCGCAACAAAACAGGACAAATGTTTTCCGCGCATAGTTTGTGCGCGTGTATATACATATAATATATATATATATATACAAACGCGGCCACAAATTACTTTCGCAATGTCCTTTCGGGGGCCAGTGCCACTCCGCCAAACCAGAGTTCCCTGAGCTCAAGCACCTTTGAGAAGTTGCCACTTTGCGACTAAAGATGCCCGTTTGCCTCTGACACGAAACGACCAAATTCAAAACGTGGGCCAACCCGCGCCAGGCTCAAGGATTTGGGTAGAACGGCAGAGCTGTACATACGATTGCGCCAGGGGCCATCATCGAATAAACGCTGGCCATTTTGGCGGCAGCCCGCCGCCCGCACACGAACAGGCAGCGGAATGAGCTATGATGGTTAGCCACAACGTTGCTTGAGCACGCGAAGGCTGCGCGGACGAAAACGCACAGGCGCCAGCGCTCTCTTCTCTCCATTTGGGCGCGCGCCTCGTCACAGATTCACCGGCCGCATCGTTGGTGAAACACCTCCAGGGACTGGTCCGCGAATTGAGTCCCTTTCATAGGCTTTGCTATTTCAGCTTTGTCAAGCTCATCTTTGCAAACTTGAACTCTTCCCAAAGACGAACACCCCAACTGCTCTTTTCCACCGCTCTGCCACCGCTTGTAAAGGCTCGGGGTAAGCTGGAGATCCGAACCTCTCCAGACTAGATAAACCTGCCGACTTCTAAACTGGCTCCTCCTCCTTCTCGTCCTTCTTGTCTTCTTGGGAACTGCCCTTTCCCTTCTCAGGCTTCCTTTCAGGCACTTGCTCCTTGAGCCTTACCTCGTCTTTCTTGTCCTCCTCCTTCTTCCTCCTTCACCTGGAACACAACCGATGGCTCTGCCTGAAGAAGGTGCCGACCCGCTGGCCGCTGGCTGTATCACCGCCTGCTCCTGCACCTGCTGGGAGAGCTATCTCCCAATCGCTGAGAACCCAATGCTACGGCGGAAGACAACTTGATTTGTGCTTGCGCATGGGGGTATTTCAACATCCATCCATCCATCCATCCATCCATCCATCCATCCATGGCTCAAGGCCATAAGCTGTTCAAGGTCGTGCCCCAACAAACCGACCTAGTGTGGGAATCCCCATTCGCTTTGAACATTTCACGTGTGAACCTCTTCGGCGTCCCAATCCCGCTGTGGCCTTCCTTGGCATTGGTTTTTGCCCGTGATAGCGAAGGTACCCGAGGAGGTGATCCCTTTGACCGGGACCTCAAATTCTGGAACATTGTGAACCATCCTGGTACTACAGCAGGCCTGTTTGAGGAGCACGAACTGAAGCCTGCCTTCTTCCCTTGCTCCTCAACCTGCACAATGACAGGGCATTGGGGTATGCAGCAACAGCTGCTCCAACTGGATCTGGGCTGACAAAGTCCAGACGGGCTTCCGGCGCCGCAAGTGCGGCCAACCCTGGCCATCCAAAGCGGCAGGAAAGGGCAAAGGGACTGCAAGGCCCTTGCCACACTGACTTGCCAAAGAATCCGGGAGCCCAATGGCCAAAAACATACAAGGCCGCTCTGGTTGAACCTCCTCTCATCGTGGAGGACACTGAAAAGGACCAAAGCCCAAAAGGATGTCGGGCGCCACCTGGTCCTCTTTACCAGCTGACACCCAGACGCGGTTGCAGGATCTCGGCATTGGTCCAGCCAGAGTACTAGAACCAGAGCTCACGGACGTCTTCAAGACGCACCTGGATGATCTACCCACACAAATCAAGGGGTTGGTGATCAAATTCGCCGCGCCCACCCCGCCCACAGAACAGCGCATGGCAGGACAGCTCAAACAAAAGGTCACTGAGCTCAAAAGCTTGTCCCTCAAGAAGACGCCCCCCAAACCAAGATTCACACTGTCAAAGATCCAAGAGGGCAACACAGCGCTCAAGCAGGCATCCGAAGAATACTTGCAGGCGGTTTCCACAGAGGTCCCCCAAGAAACTGGAAGGCCATGCAGAGGAAACCAAAGGCTACCTGAAATGTGCACACTGTCACATTGCCATTCTCAAGCGGTCCAATGATGGCATCTTCCAGGAGTTCATCCAGGGCAGGTGCATTGCTGAGGCCTATAGCGGGCCACCCATGCTCTATGGCAACTGGGCCAAAACGTCTCATGCAAGCACTGCGGCCTGAAGGTCAATGTGGACAAACACCACAGACTCATTGAGACGCAGAGCCTCAAACGAGAGTGCAAGGGCGCACCAGTCAAGGCCAGCCCCAAGCTGCGCACTTTCTTTGCCACCCAGGTCACTGCCAGCCCACGCTCTCCAGAGAGCACGGCCTTCCAAAAAGCCCACAGCTCGAGGTCTGCGAGCATGGATGAGGACGTCTGGTGTTCGAGCTTTTCCCGGCAGACGCCGCGGTTGAGTCACAAAGACTCGAGGACACAACGCAGCAAAAGACACACTAAGAAAAAACAATCCATACATCCATCCATCCATCCATCCCTCCGTCCATCCATCCATCCATCAATCCATACACACAGACATGCATTGCCTTGCATTGCATTGCATTGCATTGCACATTACATTACATTACATTGCATTGCATTGCATTACATTCATACATACATACATACATACAGACAGACAGACAGACATGCATGCATGCATACAAACATAACCTAACCTAACCTAACCTAACATACATAGATAAATAGATAAATAGATAAATAGATACATAGATAGATAGATAGATAGATACATTCATACATACATACATCCATACATACTTTCTACATTACATTACATTACATTACATTACATTACATGCATACATACATATATACAGACACATCATACATATATATACTAAGATAGTACCTCATTTTTCTGCCTTTAAACGTTGGACCTTTCATTTACCCATCCTTTCCTTTCTTTCTTGTTCTAGTTTACTGTTCATTTTTCACCTGGAAACAATTACTTTGGTTCATTTTTCCTGCCCACTGAGTTGCAGGAGCTGCCATGTTGTCACCGACCGATTGCTCCATCTCCCAAAGTTGCGCAGAGTGCCTGCAACCATCAATACCCACTTTACTCATTGTATTTGGGGGGGGAAACCGAGACTGGTGCAGACTAGCACAAATCAGAACAGCATATCTGCCGTGGATACGACGATTCTGACAAGGGGCCAGGATCAGCAGCCGGCTGAGATTCAGTAGCCAGAAGCCAAGGGCGCAACAGGAAAAGCTCCAAGCCACAAGCAGCTCATGTTGCAAGATCTCACACTATGATGGGTTGCATGGGTGTGTGAGCAAGACTGCAACTTACACTTAAGAGCTGCTTCTTGGACATGAAATAAAATCACCTTGCGCGCTGAGTCTGCTTTTTGAGCCCTGCAATTTGTCTTCACGCAAAATCAAAGCTCGTGTGGCCGATAAAGGCTCAGCGCAGATCACAACTTCTGTACCCGACAAGTGATCACGCGGTTTGCATTTCGTGAAACATAAATAAAAAGAAAACAAAATGGCTCATTTAAGACAACACCACACATTTCCGTGTCCGAAGGCCACTAAGTTACTAAGCATCTCTGCACACTATGTCTGGCCTACTCAATGAACTCACAGCGAGGCCGTGTTGTCGGATGTTTTGCCTGGGACACCTCCCTGCACTGTCTTTTGGTGGGGCACCCTTCACTGCCTTCCTTCGCTTCCAAAGACCTCTTTGTCACCTTGATGATCTTGATGGGATTCATGATCCCCGCTTTTGCCGGCCATGGCTGAGTCAAGAAGCGCGACTTGAGGATTTTGGCAGGATGCCAACGGTCTTCGGGCGAATAAGCCAAGAGTCTTCGGGGAATGAGCAGGGCGCCAGGAACATTTGCAAACGCTGGCAGAAGTTCCTTCAATGGCTGTCGTGGCCGTTGCAACTTCACAAGACTGGCAAAGTGCTTTGCCAAGCGTCCTCCTGCGTTTCCAGCTGCCTGTGGCATGAGAGATTGGAGTGCCTCCATTTCTCGAAGTGTCGGTGTTCCCAAAATGCGAACGATGGCATACATTTGACCCCAGCTCGAATCTCCTGTAAAGATTGGCTTTCCGGACATCATTTCTGCAACTATGCATCCACATGACCACCAGTCAATGCTCGTGGTGTAGCTAGAGGAACCGAGTATCAATTCTGGAGCTCGCCACCAGCGAGAGCAAATGTAGTTAGCAGAGGGTCCGTCTCCCAAGATCTTAGCAGATCCAAAGTCACAAAGCTTCAAAGTATCGACCATTGTTGTCATGTCTTTGTTGAGAAGAATGTTTTCTGGCTTCAAGTCACGGTGGCATATACGCAGTGTATCTAGGTATGCCACAGCAGTCAAGAGCTGGATGCTCAACCACCGCACTTCACCAATTGAAAGAGCCTTTCCGCCAATCCTTTTGTGAAGGTTCTCTGGCAAGTACTCCATCACAATGCAAAGGGTTTTGTCCGAAACGAAACAGTCAGTCATCTTCACAATGTGCGGGTGGTTTGCTAGTTTCAGCAGGCGGGCCTCCCTCATTTCATGACCATCAACTGGGACACTTTTCACTGCAACAAGTGTTCCAGCTTTTGTAGATGCCAGGTGAACTGATCCGAAGGCGCCACTTCCAACGTGGCGAATTACTTGATACTGCTGGTAGTTCTTTGAGGCTTTAGTATGGCAGCGTGGCAGCCGAAAAGGACCGCTTTGGTCTGAGTCTGAGCGATCAATTGCTATGATGCTTGGAGGCTCCTTCGGAGGTGTATAGCACGATCCTGAGTTTCCTGGAGGCTGCGAACAACTGATCTTTTTGACGATCTTCACTGCACATATTTCTGCATTGTCCAGTGGAATCAGTGCAGGGCCGGGTTTGAACACTTTGCAATACAATGCAAAGTTCATTGAGCCAAAGAACCTTCCGTATTCGGCTGAAATTTCTGGCAGCTCTAAATCGCTTCTCCAAGTCCATGTTGCTTCCGGGGCCACTGAGCTTAGCAAGAAAACTTCCAAAGTCTCTAAGGTAAGGAGGTGTATACTGCCACGGTAGTGTCTAGGAAAACGTAGAAGGGAACATTTTTCCAATGATCCAATGCTTGATATCACTCCTTCCTCGTGCTGCCATACTGCGCATCCCTCTTCAAAGGTCACGATTTCGCAGCATCCATCAATGATTGTCAGCGACAGCCCAGACATCAATAAAGCACATGCCTCCTGTTGATCGCCGCCTACTGCGTTGAGAGCTGCTCGCGCAACATCCTGAGGCTTTCCTGTGAGCGATGAAATGTCCTGCGAGATCGTTCTGGCAGTGATGTCATTCTCGTGGCTGCGGACGACCACATGACTGAGAGGACCCATACCTGACTACGTGCATTTGAGCCTTACACATAGTCATGAGAAAAGCAAAAGTGTGATGCTGCAAGAAGTTGTTGCACACTTGAAATCTTAGAATACTTGCGACATCCCGCGACAGTCAACAGTTTGATCATGAATTTGAAGAGTTTCTTCATATGGATGGTTCTGTAGTTAGCGGCCATTACTTTCACACGTGAGTCCAAAATGACGCAGGTATTGCCCGAGCCTGGATCATCGGAAAAAGTGATTGAAAACCAAATGCGACAAAGTTGTTGACACCAAAAAGGAATCTGTCCAGGGTAAACCGAGAAATGCAAGACTGCACCTCAGATGTAGAAGGGGGCTGCAAGCCATGGCTCAGGGACTTTGTCATCGACCACCACCAGCGATAATGCAGCTGCGGTGCAAGCTGGTGGTAAAGGAGTGCTCAACTTTGCAGAGCTGTACGGCCAATTCCACGAGCAAGCAGGCATCTGGGGCGACAGGTGCTGGAGACGATGCCACGCTGATGTCCCACAACCAGCAGTCAGAGCATTAAGAGTGGAGAGCAAAGGTTGCGGCATTTCCTGGAGTCGGGCACTACACATATTTTGCTGCCGATGTGTCTCCAAAATTGATGGTTGGAGGATCATGGACTACTCAGAGGCGAAGCTACGGAGCTTGATGCTTGAGGCTGTGATGAGAAGCCTTGTGGCAGGAGTTCCTGCAACCAGAAACTTCAAGGGGCCACTTGGCGTTGTGCGGGAGATCAACGATGGCTGGAGAAAGTGCTGAGCAGTTCTCAGAACAAGACCATCGGCTTCCTGGCCACTTACCTCGATGACATAATGATCCTCGCCCACGATCAGGAAGTCGTGGCTGCACTCCAATGTGTTGAATCATTGTGGACCTGCTCAAAACATGAGATCTTGTCGAGCGCTGGAGACAGCCTAGCAGCTTTCAACTAGCGCGTGAAGGAGGGCTACCATCTGGATCAGAGGGATTATGTGCTCGACCTTAGAAGGGTATCAGCGAGGAGACCCAACTGAAAGGATATGGGCCCTAATATGGGTTGCAGGATTGGGCTGCAGACTGGTGAGGACAAGGCCTTTGACCAATGGAACTCTTTGAGAAGCGCAAGGACTGGTGGGGAGACTTTGAAGGCAACAGCTTCATGGGGGTTTCACTACAAAAAAGTTAGTGCAATCATGTTTGAGCAGTTTTTGGCCGATGGCCGCTGCCACTCTGGTTCTCCTGCGCCAATGCAGGGGCCCCTTGAAGCCTCACACGTGCTACGCACATGCTAAAAGAGACGCAGTCACTTTTTCACTTCCATCTCGACACTTCGTGCGGTCGCGATACAACACGAGTTTCCACATCCGTGTTTTCATATTGGTAGCGGAGCCTCCTCACAGGAGGGGGCTCCAGCACCGCGATGGCTTCGTCGCCGTCCCGCCGCGGAACCTCACGCGACGCGAATGGCGGCAGCTCCTCCGCGAATGCTGGCAAGGATCTGAAGGACAACTTCGTGTCCCGCTTCGACAACACGACCACGACCTATGCTGAATGGCGGAGGCGAGTGACCTTGTATGCCCGGAAGCTCGAGCTCCAAGGTCGGAAGAGTGAGGTTGCCCTCAACGTCCTCTCAGTCCTTGAAGGTCCATCCTGGACCCAGTGTGAAGATTTGGATCTCCACGAGCTGGAGAAAGAATCAGGCCTCGACATCCTTCGCCAAGGTCGAAACGCCGACCCACTTCGAACAGTTCTTCTTCAAGCTACGGCGCAAGAAGGATCAGTCGATCCTGGAGTACACCACCGAGTTCCACCAGATCCTCAGACAGGTCACGAAACACAAGATCGACCTTCCTGAGGAGATCACCGGCTGGATGATGTTGAAGAGAGCCGGACTGACTAAGGAACAGGAGCAGCTCATCCAGACCAACATCGGCTCGACCCTCACGCTCCCAGCTGTCGAGCAGGCTCTCTACCTGATCCTCGGCCAAGATCATCGCCATGTCCACCTTCCTGCTCACCTGAGGAAGCCACAGCTCCCCGGCCGATGGAAGAGACAGAGCCAAGCCTTCTGGGAGGAGGACTATGAGCTGGATTAGAACTACGAGAATGAAGAGACCTACTTCCAGGATGCCATCGACCCCGACGAGTTCCAGGAGACCCTGGGAGAATGGGATGACCCAGAGCCCGATGACACCTACTACTACGATGAAGCTCAAGAAGAGCTGGACTCCATGTTCGACACCCAGGAGTTCGATGACATCTACAGCACCTACGTTGATGCCAAGAACCGCCGACAGAGCCGTGGCTTCTACCCCGTCGTGGCTGTGGTTGACGGCGGAAAGGGTCAAGCACCTCTGATGGCCCAAGGTTCCGGCAAAAGGCAAATCCAAGAGCCCTGGCAAGTCAAAGAGCTCTTCCAAAGGAAAAGGCTCAAAGTCTGGAAAAGGGCCCAGCGGCAAGCAAAGAGCTCGCTCAGCTTTGGTATGCCTTCGTTGCGGAAAGCCTGGCCACTTCGCAGCAAACTGTCGGTGCACAGTCGAGCTCACCAAAGAAGCGACCTGCAGATGATGACTCAATGGTCAACATGGTCCTCAGCATTGAAGAGTTCTATGACGCTGAGGAGGGCTACGACTATGAGAATGAGATCTTCTACGACCCTGAGGAGGCCTATGCCCAAGGGGAAGCTTTGGTTCGCGCTGGCGGCTGGCTCACGCCAGATCCTGACGCTTGCATTCAAGACCAAGGTGCATCCTCGTTCCTGGCTGGCAGCGAATACATCCTGCGCTACCTCAAGTGGCTGGAAATCCTCGGCTACCCCATGGACAAGTTGAACTTCAAGCAGTGCGACAAGTCCTTCCGCTTCGGTGGCGATGCTACAGGACAGTCAAAATGGATGATCGAGCTACCAACACGTC